TAGAGACATTTATAGCTAAATGGATGCACATTGAGGCCATACTCTTAAGTGAAATAAATAGGACACACGTGTAAATACCAAATAGTTTCTCTGGTATGAAAAACTAAAAGTGTAAATAAGGTTCAAATGGTATAATTGATAATGTGAAATAGGAAGAAAAGGTCTAAAGGAATAAGGGATGTGGGAAGGGTAGGGGAAATGAAAGAAGGGAAAAGAAATAGTATGAAAAAAGGAAAAAATGGAAACAAAGTCTTTGTAAATAGGGAAGGGTAGAGGGGATGAAGGGAGGACAGGGGAATGGGGAAAAAATAAGAACCAAGATATGTCATGTAAAGGCACAAATTCCCATTTGTATACCTAAAATGTACCAATAAACTAAATAAAAAAAAAGTGGCAGTGCATGTGCACAAGTCAAACAAATCCTTTTCCTTGCCAACCAACCATCACAGCTCAGGATGCAACAGGAGGGTTTTATGTGAACTTTCCATTTTGTCACATGGGATATTAAAAAGATGTATAATCAAGGGTCAAGATTTAATAAAATTTATACTTTTACTGTTTTATTAAGGATATCCTTAAGTAAATTTTTTACTGTGAGTCCCTTAGAGGAACAGAATAACAATAAATTGATGTCATTGTCCTAGCTCGTGCCATACAGGCAGCAATTTCTCTAACCACTGCTTTCCAACCAGCAGTGCAAAAGGCAATTTGCACCTTAGTATTAGAAGTTTTGACTCCCAGACCCCTCAAGAGGTCTTAGAATTCTCAGCTCTGCAGAACACACTTGTGGAGAGCTGCTATTTATTCAAACAATATTTTCTCCCAGTGTGATTTTTAACTTTCTACTTTTCTAGTTTTAATATGTAGCCTCTTTCAAAAAACTCATTAAACACACACACACACACAGTGAAATAAGGGGCAAAATAAATGACTTACTTTGAACTTGTTCATTTTCTGCTGTTCTTGGGAAAGAGTAGAAACTCTGAAGCCGAAACAGGGAAAGTGGGAAGAAAGAAGTCATAAGAGACAGTATCTTGCAGTTCCAGGAATCACCTGTGAGAAATTTCCACACAACATTTTAGTGAAAGATAACCAACTTTCTAAGGAAATGTCCCTTTGACCCATCAGAAAGAACAGGAAAGATAATGAAATGCTACCTATCTGTCCATTGATGACTTTTTTTGTTGTTGTTTTTTTCAGTACCACGAATCAAACTCAGGAACTTCACTTGCCAGGCAGGTGCTGCACTGCTGAGCTAAATCTCTAGCCCTGATGACTTTGACATAGTCTCAAACTTGGGATATTTTTGAGTGAAGGTAAACATTCCTTTCCTGTTGGCTGTTTTGAAAACTATGTGTCTGTTCTCTGAATAACACAAACTAATTGAAAACCTAAACACTGAATAATAGATTAAATAATAATATATCCAAACATGGAACTCATGTCTGGCATTATAGATGATGTTGAAGCAAATATTTATTGATACTAAAAGCTTTTTAAAGTTACATGTGATAATTTTTCCTGTTAATATCATAAACCCAGGCCTGGGATGCAGCTCAGTGGTTTCGCCACCTGCTGCGCAAGTGCAAGGACCCGAGTTCGATCCCCAGTACCAAAAAAAAAAAAAGAATATCATAAACCCCATAATTAGAAAATCATTTCAGATGTGGTTCCACCTCCTGCCTTGCAAGTGGAAGGTCCCAAGTTCCATCCCCGGTACAAAAAAACAAAAAACAAAAAACAAAAAAAACCCAACAACAAAAAAGAAAATCATTTCAGAGTTTTCAAAAATGAGACATCTCTTCTCCCAAAATTAGTTTCTCAAAATACTATTCCTCAAATACCATATTTTACATAAGAATGTTATAGTGAATCTGGAGACTTCAGTTCTACCATCAGCTTTATTAACACAGTGACTGTCTTAGTTATAATACTTTTACCTTTAAAATGAGGAGGCATTAATCTTCAAAAACCCTTCATGCACTATTATCATCCTTTAAAATCTTCACTGAGGGCCACAAATCTATACACTCTCCTGGAATTCACTTACTAATGGCTGGATGGTTTCAAACATGGTCACCTAATTTGCTGATACTGACAGAAATCTAGCTCCTAAAACAGTAGTTGGCACCAGAATCCGAAACAGGCACTTCACGTGTGCAGCAAAATCAACTAGATATCATAATCTTGAAGCCCTTTTCATAAGCAGCAGAAACCACTTCCAGCTTGCCTGAGAAGCCCAGATACCATAAGGATGAATACAGTTGTTTTGTTTTGTTTCTTTAAATCTCTCTTCCATCACCTCTCTCTAGAAACTAACCTTTGGCCTGGATAGGTTCCCAGCTTCTCAGTAAAACTTAAAACTGAAAGCTCAAACTGGTTTTGATTTACTCATTTGGCAGCCCGCAGCCCCTGAGAAAAACTGACCCAAAGGTTGGGTGAACCCAAGATTCTGGAACTGGAACACTCCGTGGTGAGGCTGGATTGAGTGCACTCCGCAGCTGGGTTCTGAAGGCGCCCAGGGAGAACCCGGCGCTGGGTACCAGAAAGGCTGGGACGTCAGAGGGCGTGATCCGCGCGGGACAGGGGCCTGGAATCCCACCACCAATTCTGGTTGAACCAACTGTCTTGGAGTCTGTGGAGCTGCTGCTGCTGCTGACAACGGAAGGTGGATGTGACACCACCTGAAGGATGGTCGTGCGGCCTGAACGAGGCAATAATGGAACAGCTGCATCCTGGTGACAACGCGAGTAGCTCACCTTTATTGACAGCCTCTCTCCCTGACAGCTCCGACACAGCGCAGCAAACCCCGTGGTTACACTGGTAGTCCCAGTGTGGGCGACCGCGGCCCGTCCCTCCCTGCTCGGTGGACCGGTTCCCCCTCCGGTCTCCGCCACTCCCAGCGTCCAGCCAAAGGAGCTTCGGACACACCTGCAGGGCTCGGCCTCCCTCAGGCCGCCGCCCCACCCATGGCAGCTCCGGGGGGATGCGCTGCCCTCCCCCCCCCCCCCCCCCCCGGGGCGCCGGACAAAGCCGAGCTAACAGAGCGGCGCCGCGCACGCGCAGAGCTCCACGGCCTCCCAGAAGTCCCCGCGCGAATGCGGCCTCACTCGCTCGTGGACTGAGGGGAGTTTCCAAGGTGCCCAGACTGGCGTCGAAGTCGAGGGGCCACCGCGCAGGTTCCCTGCGAAAAGACTGGAGCGAGTCCGGGCGCTTGAACTTAAGCACACAGCTACGTGCAAAGAGCAATCCATCTGGTAAATGAGGGCTTTTATCCTAGCAACCTCCAAAATTGTGCAGGTGATAGCTGAGACATGTGATAAACCAGAACAGGTTAGTGCCGCACACACCTCTTCCCAAAAGAAAAAAAAAGCTTAATATAAGATACACAGGCTTCTTAGTTTTACACAAATTTCGTCCTACTGGTATAGAATTCCATGACTATTACTTCACAAAGGAAGATACATGGAATAAATTATGGTCAATATTGATGACTTCCGTTTATTCTGTGCCAACTACAGAAATGAGTTTATTCAAAATGGCCATAAGAATATTAAAATTTTCACAGAATTAAATTTAAAACATGAAGCCATAACACTCTTGTAGATATGTACACATATACCACATTCTGGATAGCAGTTACAGAAATAATTAAACATAAAGCCTACTTCCAACCCAGAAAATTCCATTTACAGATAGAGGAAAGAAAAAATCTATTTTATTATTGAGAAGACATTAAACCAGACTGCCATGTACATCAGAGGCAATCCACTGAGGAGTTTGCAATGAAGGAATACCACATTTTTACATTGTCAGGCAGGTACAATGCATTACATATTCTCTAGATAAAAGACTGTCCTCAAGTAAGAGTACCTTACATCACCATTTGTTACCATAATTCATCCAAAAATCACCTGGTATTGTGTCGTATCCATCTGTGTTAACTGCCTTTTCCAAATGAAAAGTGAAGCTTTAAAAAATCTCTGACAAGCTGGTACAGTAGTTACATAGGTAGCCAGGCACCTAGGCGTTTCCCACAGAGATAGGAAAAGTGGACACTATCTTCCTTGATGTTATCTTTCAATGACATGGCCTCAAGCTATTAAGAAAGATCTTCCTGGGCCTGGAAGATTTGAAGCACACCTGTAATCCCAGTACTTGAGAGGCTGAAGCAGTAGTTTAAGGTAGCCTGACCTACACAGCAAGATCCTGTCCAAAGAAAAAGAATGACTTTCCTGGGGCTGCAGGTGTGTGTGGCTCATTAAATACAGCCTTTGCCTAGAATAGTGGTGGCAAATCTATAGCACTTGTGCCACAGCAGGCACCCAGACCCCTCTGTCAGCACACAAGCCAAGTTGCCCCAGTATCACCCCAGCAGTAGAGCATTGGATACTCCGGTATAAATGCAGTGTTGACACTTTGTGATAAATAAGTGGGTTTGGGGTTACACTTTGGGCACTTGGTCTTGAAAAGTTTCACTAATGGGCCAGGGATTTAGCTCAGTGGTTCTGGTGCCTGTCTCACAAGCGAAAGGTCCTGGGTTCAATCCCCGGTACCAAAAAAAAAAAAAAAAAGAAAAAAGAAAAGTTTCACTATTATTATAGGCAGCTAAATTAGCTAGAGATATAGGCAGTCAGATAAGGCCAGACCCTCAAGAGGGTCAGGACAAAGGGAAAACACATCACAACTGTGGCGGGAGACACATCTGTTGGAAACCAGGCATCCAGATAAAAATGATCAGGCCTACATACTTCCTAAAAAGACAAACACTGGGGCCTAATGAAGTCTAGATAGACATCAGTCACCCTGGTGGGTGACCAAGACCTCCAGACCCATCATTTCCTAGAAAAAGTCTCTGTTCTTTCCGTGCACCCTTGTTACCTGACTTATTTCCCCACTGGATCACTATTACCTAAGCAACTATTCTTGTAACCTTATTGTTAATCATACCTGTAACCCATGTTGTACTCATGTGGATTTTGCTCTATAGAACTTCCCTGTAAAGTGGATTCCCCAGCTACCCTCTTGGATCTCCTCTTGCCTCTCAGGAGCTATCCTCTCAATATTTTCCTACTCTTAATCTCCATGTTCCTAGAATTCATTCTTTGATTTTAGAGAACATGATCTCGGCATATCAGACATCTAACAGGTTGGGAGATATAATATTTTTATATTTCATCTCCTGTATCACTATCATTGGACTAGAATAAGCAAAGCCCTAGTTTTGATTCCTAGCACCAACAAATAAAAAGCTGGTCTTAGCAATAGGCTTATTTACTTTTCTTTTTTTTTTTTTTTTTGGTTTTTTGAGACAGGGTCTCCCTTTGTAGTTCAGGCTGGCCCTGAACTCATTATGTAGCCCAGGCTGGCTTCAAACTCCCAGTGATCCTCCTGCCTCAGCCTCCCAAGTGCTGAAATCACAGGTGTGCATCACCATGCCCGGCTTAGGCTTATTTACTTTTAAAAAAGATTTACTAAATCTCAAAGAATTAGACTTACAAGTTTTAGAGTTACACATTTACTCAAGTTTTAAGGAAAGAAAAGGTATATTGGTCAGCTTTTGTCCCTGGGACAAAATACTCAACACCTACAATTTAAGAGAGGAGAGGTTTATTATTTTGGTTCATGGTTTCAGAAGTTTAAATCATGGTCAGTGGGGTCCAACGCAGAAACCTCATGGCAAATGGGCCTGTCAGAGGAAAGCTGCATACTTGATGGCAGCCTGGATGCAGAGAACTAGAGAAGAGTCAGATAGAAAGGGGCTAGAGACCAGATATAGTCCCCCAGGTCATGCTGCCATGACCCACCCAGACACACCCAGAAGTGTACCTTACTAATCTTCTAGGCATCTCCCAAGCTAATCAGATTGACAATGAAAACTATCAAAAGTGAGAAAATTTCCCTTCCAAGAGGGAAAATTTAATTTTTGAATTTATCCTTATGTAACCAGCTTCTTCCTGCTCTGGGTCCTTGTTCTAAGGCAACAAAGATTGGGGTAGGGAATGATGGAAGGCATATTTATTAGGGAAAATTTAAACACCCCCCCCCCCCAAGTCAGGGAGAGGTTCCAAAAGGTGGACACCTCAAATGTTTAAGTCCAGGGGCTTTTATACAGTTTCTGGTACAAGTGACTGTGACAGAACACAGAGATGCTGCTAGTTGCTGCCAGGCCTTTGAGGTCCAGAAAGCAGGCTGACTTGTCTGCATTTCAGTTCTTCAAGGCTTTTTCCAGTTTACTTAGGGACCTGTTCTTTGTCCTTTGCCTTCCAATGAGGCTCTGATAGTTTATTCAAGTTAATTATTTGGACCCTTTGCATTTCAACACACTTAAACCCTGACTTTTAGTTCACTCAGGTTAACTATTCAGAACATGTGCCTTATCTGCCTAATTTCCTTCTTTCTCCTGGCCTCACTTACTTTTAGGGAAGACTATAAAATTTAACACAATTTTCATCAAAATTTCTATATAAATGTTGGATGAAGAGTTCAGTTTTGTTTTACTTGACAACACAATTTAACATCCTCTAAATAACCTTGGAGAATATCCAGGAACTGTTTTGGAAATAAAAATTGTTATAAAAGTATTTAAAAAGTTTGGTGCTTGGCTTCAAAAAAGCATAGAAATAGACCAAAGATAAGAATTTGTTAAAGTCATCATTTCAAACAGTGGACATAAAAATAAATAATAAACAATGGACATAGTGTGGACTTTGTACTTTTAGTTCCATCTAATTTGGTGTTTATGGTATTGAGCATCCAACCTAGATACTTACACATGCTAAACCTGTACTTTACTACTGAGCTACACCCTCCTCCCCCTCAATGTGGCATGGAGGTCTCTCTCCTGAGAGTGGCTGCATTGTACCCTCCAGCCCGGCCCCAACTTGTTTGCCTTTCTATATCCTGGTGTATAGCCCAATGTTTTAAGGGTCTGAAAACATGACTAAGTTTCTCTCACACGGAAAATGTGTACTGGAACATTTCCTTAAGGCTCTTGTTTAACCTGCGTCCAGTTTACTCCTACTAAGACAACCACCCTAGGAGAGTCCTGATTGGGAGAAGTAGACTTAGGCGTCAGTGTGTCAGTCAGTTGAGACACAGAGGAGGCCCCACAATAAGGCACAATGAAGTAACAGATGCAATCTCTATTACTTACGGTTTTAGCCACTTTCCCGTGATGGGAACAAATATCTGTATCTGATGCCCACAACATAAAGCAGTAGTTTATTTTAGCTCACAGCTGTTTTGAGGGTTTAGTCCATAGTCAGCTGGCTCCAAGGTAGAAACAGGATGACAGAGAGGCCTGGTAGAGGAAAACCTTCTCAACACCTGGCAGCCAGGAAAGAGACAGAGGAGGAGCCAGGGACAAGAATATACTCTTCCAAGTCATACCCCCAAGGACTCACCTCCAACCAGTCCCCATCTCCAAACGGCATAATAACTGAACCTATCACTAGATGAATTCACTGATGAGTATCCAGTCACCATGATCCAGTCACCCTTCAAACATATGAGACATTTGGGAGACATTTTAGATCTAAATTGTAACACATGTCTCAGAGAGAAGAGGGCAGCACACTTCAAAGGGTCAAAGATAAGAAGAGAGCCATCAGGGACATGCACACTTAGCCAGAGGGCAGGGAGCCAGAGAGAATGAGAGACCACAAGGTCAAATCCTTTGCCTTACCTAAGGAAGTTTCCCTCCCAGGGAAGTGGCCTTGTTAGAAACACTGATATCTAAACCAGGCTGGTGTGGTGGTGTATGAGGCAGGAGAATTGCCACGAGTTTGAGGCCAACCGAGGCTGCATAGTGAGTTTAAGGCCAGCTGAATTACAGAAGGAGACTCTGTCTCAAAAAACAAAAAACAAAACAAAACATTGATAATCTAGGCAAACTGCAAATGTTGGTTATGGTTTAGCTTGTTTCCCTTATAGAACTACCAGCTTCTTTCATTGCCAAAACCCCTAATCTTCATTTTCTGCCCCTCTACGCAGCCCTGGGAATCAATCCCAGGGTCTTGAGCATGCTAGGCAAGTGATGCAGAAGGAACCAAATGAACCCTGCAAGGGAAATGGACTTCATTTTAATAGCTCATAAAAATCATCAAACAAGCAGGCAAACAGCAGTATGCCCCTATGGAGGATCCATAGGCCCAGTTTTCAATAATAACAACAACAAACGACAAGATACAAAGAAAGAGGAAAGTGTGACCACAGATAAGAAAAAACTGAGGCAACAGAGACCTCCTTTGAGGTCCTAGATGTTATATATTTCCCCCAAACCAAAAGAAAACTATAAGGAAATAAAGGAAGGCTTCCTTCATTTTTTAAAAATGCTATATTTATTATATTTAAAAAATACTTCCAGGAATCCCTTACTAAACTATTTTGAATGGAGCACATGCAGGTTAATCTTGTCAACTTGACAGGATGAAAAGGCTCCTGGAGAGATGATTGGATCAGGGGGAGCTTTATTCGTCAGTGGACTAACTCACTGATGTTCATAGCTAAGTATGCCTTAGGATGTGGGGCCTGGATGGAGGAGGTGGGTCATCGAGGGTGTTCCCTTGGAGGATATATCTCTTCCCCTATATTCTGCTTCCTAGCCACCATGACTTGAGCAACTTTGCTCTACAACCCCCTTCTGCGTCGTTTCTCTAGAATCAACCAACCATGGCTGGAACCCTAGGACACTATGCGCCAAATAAACCTCTATTGGTTGTCAGGTATTTTGTCCTAGCAACAGAAAGCTGACTAATACCAAGCAATACTATAGATATTCGTAAGGCGTTTCTCGGTTGTAAAACATACTGTTAATTTAGGTGTTCTTATTCCAGATGAACTCAAGAATGCTTTTGTAACGTACACAATTCACTAACAACGAGAAAAATATATTTAAAAGTTGAGATTTTAAATGAAATTGTGTCAAAGAATAATCTTTCTATGAAAGGCTCTATTTATTCAACCAACTTTAACATGGAGGAACATCTGAAATTTATGTTCTTTTGGGTCATGTCTATTTACTACCACGTCCCTGTATCTAGTGATTTTTGTCCTCACATCTGTTTTTTCCTGATAGACTCACAGAGGGCGTCAGATGAAGAGTATGACCGGATTTGTCGGTTTAAAAGGTGTTTAAACTTGGCCGGCAGCTTCCTCACCCGACAGCTCGGTATCTAAACAGCACAGATAGCCGCCCGTACAAACCGCCAGCAGCTATAACCTTCAGAACCTTGCGGCGCAAATCCCCAGAGTGGGGAGCGGGGCCTCACGGGAAAGGAAGTTTTGCGGCCGGTGGCCAACCCTGCGCGGGTTCTGCGCATGCCTCATGCAGCCGGCCACCCCCGTTTTCCCTTGTTTTCAACAGGACCCTGATGGGAGGCGGTGCTGGGTCACCCAGCTGCGGCTCTTCCGGGCTCTACTACACGACCCGTGGTCGACGGGTGAGTGCCAAAGAGCTAGGCGAGGGGCCAGTGCTCAGAAGTGTGGAGGAGCCTACGGGCCCCAGGACGGCAGCATCTTTGTCTGGATGTGAGGCTGGGACAGGACCCGTCCAGTCCCAACGCCGAGCTGACTGCGCTCTTATCTCTGGGCGGGTCTGTGGGGCCTCAGGAAGAACAAGTGAGCGCATGCGCCAGTGTGCCTTAGCGAGGAGGTGGTGGGTGCGGCAGGGGACCGTAAGAGCGTGCGTCAATGATCCGGCGCTCTGTACCTTGGGAGGGGCGGTGCTGCTGGGAGACACCTGAGCTACAGGCTTCCGGGGTGTGGCCTCGAGGCGGGTGGTCAGGCCGGTCTAGACTTTTGTGACTGTTTCCCAACCTGATTGCTCTAGTGCTCAGCAAGGAGCTTCCAAGAATTATCTATTTTTATTTGGTGGAAGAAAAAATTATGTTTGAAGGCCAGTGACCTTTTCAGGATCTCAGTTTGTTAGTGGTGGAGACTTAATTTCTGACCCCTTGATTCTCAAACCAGTACAACTTTTTCACGTGCATCAAAGGACGTTTCTTATGAAACATACTTTTTAGAAACAACACAATGTAAAGGTACTAAAACTTTTTTCTTGATGGAGTACTTTTTGTGGCCTTTTGTGTATTCACTAACCAACAGAAGTAATAGTGAGAAAATCGATCGTTAGCCCTGAATATTTTTTTATTTTTTTATTTTATTTTATTTTTTTTTCTGATACCGGGGATCGAACTCTGGATCTTGCGCTTGCAAGGCAGGCTAAATCCCTGGCCCCTCAGTATTTTTTTTAAACAACAATTTTAGTGAAGTAATGTTCTTCACTACTTGTTCCATCATTAGAAAGTATTGTTAACTTGTATGACCAGTATTTTTGTTATAGATATGTATTTGTAAGCATCATTTAAACTATTAAAAGCCTTAGGACATATTCACATTTACCCAGTGAAAAATGTTGTACTCAAGAGCTACATGATTATAATAGAGCCATATCAAGTGATTTTTCACCATTCCCTCTTATCATCCCGAAGTGTCAAAAGGACAGGGACATTCTCCTACAGAGAGCATTTTATGTGTGTGTGGGGGGGTGTCTGCTAGGCAGGACAGATCATTCATCACCCTATCTTTCTTCTAACCCATTTGTAGCTTAAGAATTGTCTACGTCTTTCAAAGAATAGCACAAAATGAGCAAGGTAAGTTATTTACTCATTCCCCATGTTATTCTTTAATGGACTCTGTGAGATTTGTAAGAGTCAGTATGTTGTTAGAAATTAGATATACATAAAAATCAAACTTCACAAAAATATGAAGTAATCGATCTGTGGGAGTATCAAGTTGGCATGTTGCCATACACTGATCAAATGGTTTTAGAGTCACTCATGAGCTGCAAATATGTCTCAAATATTTCTGTCCACTTTTGGAGAAAGGAATAACACTGTGTGTTCCATACAGAGGACTGATTCCTTTGAAGACAAAAGACTTCCTGGAAAATACCTTTTTGTTCATAACATAGGGACACATCTGTAATAATCTTCCAGTGGTAGCCCCAGATGAATGTGAGTGTTACCTTAAACCAGTAATGGTGAACCTATGGCATGCATCCCTGCAGTGGTCACATCACCCACCTCACTCTAGCGTTGCCCCAGCAGCTGAGCATCAGATTTTCAGGTTTAATTGCAGTGTTGGAGCTTTGTGATGAACAAGTGGGTTTGGGGTTGCTGTTTGGGCGCTCAGTCTCTAAAAAGTTCGCCATCACTGCCTTAAACTATTCTTCAGTAATACTGAAAGAGTTAGAGACATGGTTCAAGTAGTGTCAGTTTTTGGATCATCTTGTTTGATCCTAGCGTATAATCTGCACCATTGAGAGGAAGCAATAGCCTGCATACCTGTATCAAAAACTCTCCATAACTATTTCATTTTAGCTAGGCAGTGTATACAGGTTGTGCAGAAGACAGTTCACAGTTCATTTGTCTGGTAAATATTTTTTAGCTTCTCAGTCACAGTCACTTTCTCATTGCACAGACATAGTACCTGACACCCACAGCTTAAAGAAGGAAGGGCTTGTTTTGGCTCATAATTTGTTGAAGTTTCAGTCCATAGTCTGTGTGCTCCAAAGCAGGGCAGTATTGGGGAGGGGCATGGCAGAGGAGAAACAACCTCATGGCATGGAGGTGGGAAGCAGAGAGTGATATCAAGGGAGGAGCGAGAGAGCACCCTTCTGTTACAGTTGATTGGGCCAGTAATAGTCCAGGTTCTTCTGTATGACAAGGAAAGAATTGCTAAGCACACACCCAGTAGTAGGTAGCAAACAGCTGTGTTTATTGAAGATCATGGGAAGTTGTGCTCAGGGCCAGTCTGTGCCAACAAAGGTATAACCCAGACCAAAAAAGGTGCTGGGGTGACAGAAATGGACTGCATATGGGTCAGAAGCACCCAGAAGAATCCACAGCAAAGAAAAGGGCTGATAGAGTTAAGCTTTCTGAATTTAAAGTCCAGACACACCTCTGTTTTAGGTGTCTCCCACTGAATCTCTAGATATCCCACTGAACCCCTAGATATCTAGGGTGCTGAGCCATCTTAGGGACTTCTTTGGTGTTTTTTTTTTTTAGACAGGGTCTTGCTATGTAGTTCAGGCTGACCTTGAACTCACTATGTGGCCAAGGCTGGCCTCAAACTCGCTGCAATTCTCCTGCCTCAGCCTCCTGAGTGCAGGGATCACAGGCGTGAGCCACCATGCCCAGCGATTAATTACTCTCTTAATAGATTGTAATGAGTCAAATTTGTCAATGTTTTACTTAGAATATTTACATTAAAGTTAAATGTGAACTGTTCTTGAACAATGCTTTGTTTGCTATTAAGTTTGTGATAGTTAACAGACACTTTTTTATGTTGTAGAATATTTAAATTACATGAATTGTCATTTTACTTAATAGCGGCCATACTTTAATTCTGAAAACATCTAGGCATGGTAATTTTTCCATGGTACATCTTCAAGCTCTTAAATTTTTTTTTTTTTAATCCCAGGGCCTCATACATGCTAGGATGTGCTTTACCATTGAGCTACATTCTCAGCCCTAAGAGGCACTTTCTAGTCCCGCAGTAAAGATGAGATATCACAGTTTCAAACTTCATTCCTTTCAGAAGCCATCAGTTGCACTGTTCTATAGCCCTGCTGGCTATGGATTTACCAGGAGTTCGTTGCTGTGGTCATCACATATTTGTTTAATATTTCACATGTGCTGTTTCCCTCCTGTTTGGAGTCAGTTTTTTTCCTGAGGCATATCATTCATATGGTGAAACATGTAAAGCTCATTCATCATAGTGATGTACTCTTCTTTTGGGTTAAGCACATGTGTCCAGCCTAGCAGCCATCAGCCAGGTCAAGATATGAATGTTCCCACCACCCCTCAAGGTTCCTTCATGACCTATCCAATCCAGTCCCCTAACATGGGTTCTGTCATTATTGGTTGATATTGCCTACTTCCGAACTCAAGTGCATTGAATCATTGTGAGCAGTCTTACAGCAGGTGTCTTTCTTTCAGTATATATGAGGGTTCTTGTATTACTATGTAGCACCAGAAAGTTCTTTTTTCTGGTGCTACATAGTATTCTGCTGCGTGAAGACATTAGAACTTATTTATCCATTCTCCTATTGATGGGCACTTTATTATATTTTTATTATCTTATGTAGATTTTTAGTTTACTATTTTGTATTTTTTTTTTTTTTGGTACAGGGTCCTTGTGCTTGCAGAGCAGGGGCCAGAACCACTGAGCTAAATCCCCAGCCTTATTTTGTATTTTTTAGTGTTCATTCCAGATATTATAATGTACATTAACATTTTTGTCTATTTTAAATTAGTAATTTATCACTTCACAAACAATGTAAGAGTCTGAGAACAATTTGACGCCAGTCATTCTCATCTAGTCCTCATTGCTCGTGCTGTGACACACTGTACTATACTTATAGGAGATATGGTAGAGTCCAAAAAGTTTTCTTTAGTTTTCTACATTCCTTTTTTGGGGGTACTGGGGATCGAACTCTGGTCCTTGCACCTGGTGGAACCCCTGAGCTAAATCCCTGGCCCTCTACATTCCTTTTGATCTCCCATCCAGTATCAGTTTCTTTGAGCTAAAAGAGCTGCAGCTTTTCTTGTTGTCTGTGTTTATTGTGGAACATTTTTCAGCCTTCATCTGGAAGATACTTTCATTTTAGAATATTTTTTACAGAATTTAGATTTTTCTGTGGCTTTTTATTTAGCATTATAAAATGTACCATTTTGGTTTTCAAATTTACAGATTGCTTGCTGGAGTTTTGCTGGAGTGTCTTCTGACTTCCATATTTCTATTGAAATGTTTGCTTTATGTTTTGCTGTTGAGATAGCATACCTTTTTTGTTCACATTAATTCTTTTGATGCAAAGAATAAATGAGATATTTCTTTGTATAAATTTCTTTTCATGCTAGGAATAAGTTCTTTGTCATATGTATTATCTCAGTATGTGAATTGCATTTTTATTCTCTATGCTTTGATAGATTGCTAACTTTAATGTAGTATAGTTAATTTATGTTTTAAGAGATCTTTGTCATGAGGTAAAATTTTATTGCTTTAACTTTGCAAGTTTAGATCTATAAACTTGTCAAGGTGAATGCCTGCTGATCCTTATCATAGAAATAAATATGAATTATAATTGCACTAGCACCATTTATCAAGTGATTGTTCATTCCTTGTCATGAATCAAGTGGCAACACATGCGTGTCTCTGTTTTGGGCTCTGTTCCATTGCTACTTTTTTTTTTGGTACCGGGGATCGAACTCAGGACCTTGCACTTGCGAGGCAGGCAGCATAATCACTGAGCTAAATCTCTGGCCCTCCATTGCTACTTTTGAAAATTCTTGTGCCTGTGTTGAACATTGATTTTTGGCACGTTGATTATAATACTTGATATATGACAGTATTTCTTCTGGCTTAGATTTTCTTCAAGATTGCCTCGTCTATTTGAAATCCTTTGGATTTCCACATGTTTTATCATTAGCTTGTCTAATGGCCATCAGGGTATCTGCTGGTAATTTGAGATTGCTGTGAATCTGTACAACAGCATGGGTAGAACTGATATATTTCTCATATTGTGCCTTCCCATTTTGGAATATGTTAAATCTCTCTAAATAAATGTTTTATTTTTCATGCTATTATTAATTATACCTCTCAAAATTTAATTTTCTGTTTTGCTGATAGAAATACCTAAGATTTGTTATACCGAACTAGTAACCACATCCTACAATATGCTTTTATTTGGATTTTCTGTGTACATAATTATATTACTGCTCTAAGAACTTTAGAAAAATGTTGACTAGAATTAGGCATAGAAAGTATCCTTATGTTAGTCCTAGTTTTTAAGTTAAGTACTTTCCATATTTTAGTGTAAATGTGGTGTTTGATGTAACCATTTATAGGAATCCTTTATCACATTGAGGAAATTCCTTTCCTTTCCAGTTTGTCAAGCATTTTTAAAATCATACTTTTCTATGTTTTCATATGATCATATGATATCTGTTGCTTTTAAGAACTATTCTTATTTTAATTTCTACATTTCAGAAAATTCCTTATGATCTTCGTATTGTGTTCTCTCTCTAAGCGAGGCATAAGATGATTTTTCTCTTAGATTTTATTTGTATTTTCTCTCCTGAGTCCTCTGAAAGCCTCCAATTACCTCTTTGTTTTTGTTTTTTGTGGTTTTTTTGGTACTGGGGATCGAACTCGGGACCTTGCGAGGCAGGCGCCAGAACAACTGAGCTAAATCCCTGGCCCATTCCAATTAACTTTTGATGGATCAACTCTTGCAAATTGTTAATGTCTCTCAAATACTTGTTTTCATTCTAATGCTCCAGTATTATGCTTCAGATCTAGCTCATATAAGCCCTGTCTTGCTAAAATATCACTCCAGTCTAGTGTCTCTGGGCTTGTTCACATGTGTTGCCTGAGGAACATTTCTTTTCTGCCCTGTAAGTTGATGACCACTCCTTCTTGTCAGTGCTGTGTTTGCATCCCAGTTTCTGCTACAGTACTTTGCCTCAGTGATGGTGTTTTTTCCTTTAGTTGTCTCTGACCTTTCTCAAGAGAATAGGTTCTATAAATAAAAACCTGGTCACATTATTTCGGTAGGTGCTCACATCTCTTCTCTGCCCTCCTTTTTTTACACAGCAGTGATCCCTAAAATAGAGCTATGCATTTGAGAGGATGTCCAAACAACCCAATTACCTATCATCTGTGTACTTTACAGATTTCACCATCATAGTAGTTTCAAAATCCTTCCATTTTCTACACATCCTAATTATTGTCTCTTAGTTGAATGGTTAGATCCTGGAATATATATTGCAATGAAATAAAATGTTAGGCTGTGTTTCTGCACTTTAAAATCCAAATGAGAAGTTGAAATGCATAATAAATGTGAATTTTCTTTTTTTGTTTGTTTGTTTTGTTTTTTTTTGGTACCAGGGATCGAACTCGGGTCCTTGCGCTTGCCAGGCAAGCAACGGAACCACTGAACTAAATCCCTGGCCCGTAATGCATAATAAATGTATTGGCAGTTTATTTATGTAATTTGTAAGTATTAATGTTTGTTTAAACCCAGTCCATAATGAGTTTCCTGAGTGCTTCCCTGGCCTCTTTTCTCATAGCAGTGCTAGGCCATATCCTCCTGTCTTCCTGTGCTTCTTGCTATGTTGCTGGTTACTTGAGTGTGTGAGAGGGTCCCTGCCTTTGCTTGTGCCATGGTTCTATCCTTGGTGGAACACAGTACAGTATTATCATCAGCCAACTTCCTCATTGAAGTTCAAAGTAGAACTAATTTTGCTCTTTATTTGTATCATTTGTCTATATTGTGTGTAGTTTCATTTTAGCATGTGCAACATACTACTATATATTTCTTTTTGACAGCACATATTCCTGAAATGAAAGATTTTTATTGATCTATTTATAACAACTGTAATAGTTGTACACACACTATGGGGACTGCTAATTTTTTTTTTGCATGAATTAATACCTTAATGCAATAGCAGAGTATTCCAGTTAGTTCCCTTTCCCGCTGAAGTATGTGCCAAAAAGTTCTGTAAACAATTTTCAAAACCGTAAATAATCACAATATGGATTAGTGTTATACAGTATATCTTTTTCCATGTCACCTAATGCTATACATTTCTGATTGAACAGAAATCCCAGGGATCAGTATCATTTACAGATGTGACTGTAGGCTTCACCCAGGAGGAGTGGCAGCACCTAGACACAAGCCAGAAGTCCCTGTATAGAGATGTGATGCTGGAGAACTACAACCACCTGGTCTCCGTGGGTAAGTGGTTTGTGTTATGTGATTCTAGTAGCATTTGTTTATCCCTTTCATTGTGAAGCATGTGGGCATTGTGCAATGTAGTTATTTGAGATTCTGTGTCAGAAATCATAGAGTGTCAATTGGTTACTTTTGTGCACCAGAAGACATTTTTGTTCCCCTCTCTAGTGAGGTGTTCCAGTGGCATTGTGGATCCCCTCCATCAGAAGTCATAACAGCCCAAGTCCTTAATCGTGTTCCTTTAACAGGGTATTGTGTGACAAAGCCAGAATTGATCTTCAGGCTGGAGCAAGGAGAAGAGCCATGGATATTGGAGGAAGAATTCTCAAGGCAGAGCTTCTCAGGTGAGTTCATCTGTACTGCACATATGAACATCAGCACAGTCATTATTTACCTGAAGTTAATTCAAGGGCTGGCTACCCTGAAATGTTTTTCAAGAGTATCTCATTGGAGGACCTAACCCTTACTGATTTCTAAACCCAACCTTCTAATGCCACTGTCAAATACTTTTAGATTTATTTAAAGTATTTTTCATTTTTATACCTGCCAGTAGTCCAATTTTTGCTCGTTTTTCTTGGCTGCTCCACATTCCTCAGAGCCATCTCAGTTTCCCACTTTACCTCCATTGTTCTCTCTGCTTTTTGTTGTCAGACATTCTTTCATACACTCATTTCTTGACTCAAATAATATTTGAGTTCTTGCTATGTGCCAGGCATTTTTTAAGAGCTGAGAATATAGTGGTAAGAAAACCCCTAAATACATTTATAGAATGTCTTAGTTACTTTTTTCTTGTTGCTGAGACAAAATACCTGACACACAAAGTTAAAGGAGGAAAGGTTTATTTTGCATCACAATTTTGTAGACACAATTTATTTTGTGGCACAATTTGTAGAGGTTTCAGTCCATAGTTGGCTGGCTCCAAGGGAGGGTGGCATGGCATAGGAGCATCACAGAGGAGAAACAACTCATGGTGTAGCAGGCAGAGGCAGCTATTGACAAACAATAAGCAATAGCCCTCTGTCTATTCTTTATAGTCTGTCCAGGTTACCCACCTTTAGGGTGAAGAGGACTCACACCAAGGTAGGCCTTCACATTATCCACACCCAGAACTGTGTCAGACCAATCAGTGGATTGATTTAGTAATCATACACTCTTTTTTTTTTTTTTGGACTGGAGATTGAGCTGGGGACCTTGCTCTTGGGAGGCAGGCGCCAGAAACACTGAGCTAAATCCCTGGCCCTCATACAGTTTTAATCCCAGCATTACACACTTAATCCCAGCATCACACACCTCTGAAAAGCTCCACGTGTGACTGCATGAGGCTTTAGGGGAACGTCTAGATATAAGCCACAGCATAGTAGTAGTGCTGAAAACATAAAGATATTTGTGGTATATTAAAAGTTCTGCATGATAAAGACTATCAAAGTAAAGCAAATTTAGATGAGTGTGCTACTTTGAGAGTAGTCAGGGGAGACCTTAATGAAATCAACATTGGAGTAGAAGCTTGAATGAAATGATTGTGTGATCCATGAAGATTTTGCCTCTGTTCAACAAGGTTAACAGCAGTTGCTAAGCTGTGGGCAGGAATGTGGTTGGTGTATTTGAGGAATAACAGAAGCAGTCACAGTGGCTGACGGGGGTAGTTTAGGGAAGAGGAGCACCTGATGATGTCAGAAAGTTATAGTCCAAAAGACAAGCGCACCATAAGCATTGTTAAATAACTTGAGTTTATTTGTGCTTTATGTAATTTCAGTATCATTTGTTTATCCCTTTAATTATGAAGCATAAGGGCACTCTGCATTATAGTGTTTATGTTGGAGAATTTTTAGCACATCAGTGCATGATATGTATTTAAGTTCTCTTTTGATTCTGTAAGGAAAATATTGGGAGGACATAAGGCCATGAGAGTTAATTAGGGGACAACTGTATTTCTCCGTGGAAATGACTATGGTGACCTAGACTGAATTGAAGACATAGAAGTAACAAGTTTTATTCCCTCAATGTGTGGAAAGAGGGGAATAAGAAAAGAGCTAACAATTGTAACAGAGGGGGAAGAGGTAAAGTATTTGAGGAAATAATGGCTGAAAACTCCCCAAATTTAGCCAAAGACATAAAATTACACATCTGGAACTTGAACTAATGCCAAATCAGAGAATTCCAATGAAATCCATGCTGAAGGCACATGATGATTAGATTTTAATCATTAGTCACAATTCATCAATCATAATTAATACATTGCCTGTAGGGATTGGCAGCGGCATGTAGGGAAGCATTATCAGAAGAAAATGAGGAGAAAATGTGGCTGGTGAGCCACCTCTAAAAAATGGCTGGAGGAAGTTCTCTAAATAGAAAGCAAATAAAAAAAGACTTGGACCTTTAGAAATTGGAAGTTGGCAAAAGTGAGGGTAAATGTAATAGAACATCCTCCTCATGACTTTTTGAAATCATAGTTGAGGGTTGGAGCACAATTTGCAACATCAGATGATTTGATGCTGTGTATTGCAGAGGAAGTACTTGAGGCAGTTATATTTAAAAAGTGGGGAAGGGTAAAGACCTCTAAATGGAATTATGTTTGTTACATTCCATATGAAAGTTTAGTAAACTGTAATAAGTTGCACATGTACCTTTTTTTTCTTCCCGTACTAGATATTGAACCCAGGGCTTTTGCATTGAGCTATAATTCTTTGTTTTGAATAGGGTCACATGAAGTCACTCAGTTGCCCAGGCTGGGCTCACATTTTTGATTTTCTTTCTTTTTCTTTTTTGGTACCAGACATGGAACTCAGGACCTTGCGCTTGCAAGGCAGGCACCAGAACCACTGAGCTAAATCCCTGGCCCACATTTTTGATTTTCTAGTCTCAGCCTCTCAGAGTGCTGGGATTACTGGTGTGTACGTGCTCAGCTGCATAGGTACAGTTTAATACATAGAACAATTACTAAGAACACCTTAGGAAGTGTATACTTAGAAACACTGAAATGCATCAATGGATTATAAAAAACCAATAGGAAAAAAGAACAGATATGAGAAACAGAAAACTGAGTAATATTTATGTTAAATGTAAATGATCAAAATATATCAGGTAAAATACACACTGGCATAGTAGATAAAACAGAAAAAACATGATCATAAAATATGTTATTGAAGCTGGTTGTGGTGGCACATGCCTGTAATCTCAGTACTCTGGGAAGCTGAGGCAGGAGGATCACAAGTTCAGTCCCAGCCTGGGTCACTTAGTTAGACCCTGTCCCAATAAAATTAAAAAGTGCTGGGGGTGTAGCTCAGTGTAAAAGCCTTGGGTTTAATCCTCAGTACTTCAAAAACATTTTTTTATTGATAGGAAACTGATAATATAGTTACCAACATAATTTGATAAAGAATAAGAAAAGATATACAAAGTAAGAATGATTTTGTTAATATCGGGTAAAGTAGACTCCAGAACAAAGAAAATTATTTGACAAAAAGATTACTATAAAAAGGATCAGTCCAACATATATATGTACAGTGATTCTAAATGTGTCTTTTTGCAGTGCTGGGGTTTCAACCTGGGCCCTTCTGCATGAAAGGCACACACTGAGCTCCATCCCCTAGTCTTTTTTTTTTTTTTGGTACCAGGGATTGAACTCAGGACCTTGTGCTTGCGAGGCAGGCAGCGGCACCACTGAGCTAAATCCCTGGCCCCTAAATGTGTCTTAGTAAGCAACAGAACCCCAAAGTTCAAAACTGATTGAGCTGAAAGGAGAAATAAATTGTTAATGATAGTTGGAGAATTCATCACATAGACTCATTAGACATTACATTAATAGCAAATTTAGAATAGGACAGCACCAGCACCAATACCCAACAGATTGAAGCAGCATCTATAGAAAAATGCACAACAGCAGCAGAAAAAGACTACATTCTTTTCTCAAGTACCCATCAAAATAAAAAAAGTAGGCCAGATCCTAGACTATAAGCATATTTCAGTAGACTTTAAAAGAATTGGGATTGTGTATACAAGACCAGCCAATTGCAAATGTAGATAGTTTTGCTTCTTTTTCTACTATCTTGATGCCCCTTTTCCCCCTTAGCTAGAGTCTCTTATTTAAGTGGCCAGAAGACATTCTTACATTGTTCTTACTCTCTGAGAGAAATCATTCTTCTTTTCATTGTTTAATGTGATGCTGCCTCTAGGCTTTCCACAGCTGCCTCTCATCAAGTTGAGGACGTTTACTTCTACTCCTAGTTTGATGATTGTTTTTATCAAGGAAGAATATTGGATTGTGTCAAATTCTGTATTTGTATTGTGCATATTAATCTGTGTGTAGTGAGATGATCATGTGATTATTGTCTTTTCCCTATTTATATGTTACATTAATTGATTTTTAATTAAACCAATTTTGCATTTCCATTATGAATCATGAATCCCACTTGATCATGCTACATAATCTTTTGTGTGTTTGCATGTATTTATATACAATATAGTTTGCTTGTATTTTGTTGAGGATATATAGCTTTGTATTCATAAGATGCAATGGTCTGTGTTTGCTCATGTCTGATTTTTTTTTTTGGCACTGGGGATCGAACTTGGGACCTTGTGCTTGTGAGGCAGGCGCCGGAACCACTGAGCTAAATCCCCAGCCCAAGATTTTGATGGGTATATAGGGATCATCAAATGAATTGGGATATGTTCCTTTCTCTTCTATTTTTTAGAGGAATAATTGATACTCGTTTGTTTAGTTTTTTGAGACAGGGTCTTGCTTGGTAGTTTACAGTGGCCTGAACTCACTGTGTAGCCCTCAGACAGGGTGACCTCAAACTCATAATGATTCTCCTGCCTCAGCCTCCTGAGTGCTGGGATTACAGGTGTGGGCCACCATGCCTGGCTTGATATTCCTTTTTAAATGTTTGGTAAAATTCACTAGTGAAGCCATTAGGACAGTGGTGGCAAAGCTATGGCATACATGCCACAGTGGACATGCAGAGCTCTTCTGTTGGCACTCAATCCAAGTTACTCCCTCAGTGGAGCATAGTATATTCAGGTTTAATTGCAGTATTGGCACTTTGTGATAAATAAGTGGGTTTTCATTGCAGTTTGGCTGCTTAGTCTTGAAAAGGTTTGCCATCACTGGGTACTTGGAAGGCTGAGGCAGAAGGATCACAGCCTGGGCTATATAGTGAGTTCAAGGCCAGCCTGACCTACATAGTGAGATCCTGTCTCAAAAAACAAAGCATGAATAAATAAATAAATAAATGGTTTGCCATTGCTGCATTAGAACCTGAGGAGTTTGTCACTTGGTCTATTTTTTAAAACAATTTTTTAGGGGGTGGGGGATTTAGCTCAGTGGTTCTGCTGCCTGCCTCAC